CGGGGCTGCAGGGCGCCGAGCGCAGCGCCAGCAGGGCGCGGGCGCCGCTGTCCTCGCCGACTTCGGCCATGTTCGCGCAGCTCCGAGCGGCTCCGGCGGCGGCGAGGCGGCGCGGGGCGGGGCGCGCGGCGCGCGCGGAAACCCGGGCCGGACACGGAGCGGAGCGCCGCGCAGCAGCAGCTGCCGGCGGGCGGGGGCCGGGAGGCGCCGCTCCCTCCCCGCTGCGCGCGGCCCCGGCTCGCCCCGGCTCGCAGCAGCGCGTGCCCGTGCCTCCATCCCGGCGACCCCCCAAGTTTTGCCCTAGCGTCACCGGAAAAAGGGGGACATGCTCAAAGGCGTCTCCTGGGACCCGATGACTCCACCTCCCCCCCAACTCCGAAGTGAGAGCCTACTTGAGAACCCCAGTTGGGAGTTTCACACAGTCGCGGAAGATCAAGGTTGAGGGAGGACGCTGGTGATCCAGCCCGACCCCCTCTTGTTCTTTTTGGAACCATGCAACAAATACGCAGAGGACTAAGATGCCCGAACACAGACCTTAGCTGCAAACAGGGAATGGCCACTTTGGGCATTACTCAAATCCCTTTAGGACAGCAGGGTCCTGGTCCTGTATTGTTAATTCAGCCAAGTCCCCCTAAAAAAAAAAAAAGTGGTCTCCTCTTTTAATAACTGTTGAGTATGAAAAAGTAGACACAGCTCCCAGCCGGATGGAGCTTACAGTCTCTTGGGAGTTACAGACACGTTAAAATCAGAGACACAGACTGACACATGTAAAATCACAACGACCCAATGTTTGGTGGGGGGCGTGCTGCATAGCGCCACGCAGGAGGGAGAAGGGAGACCTGACCATCTATGGTGGGAAGCTTCCCTACCTTCTTCCCACCTCCCAGCCACACACGAATCCAAGCACTACGTTATTGAGTATATGGATGTGAAGAGAGGAAGTATGTGTTTGGGATGCAAGGGACTCATTTTCATGAGAAGCTGCAGCAACAGACCCTACTTAATTGAGAAGGAATCTCTTCTCTAAGTAAAGACACATGAGCCAAAGCCCAAAGGGTGAATTAGCACTAACTGGGGGAGTAGTTGGGAGTGTAGGGGGACAGTGTCCAGCCAAGGAACATATGTGCTGAAGATGTGTGCCTTGGGGCAGTGGATAGAAGTCTTCTGTGTGTGGAGCAGAGTGATCAAGTCAGCTGAACCAAATGAGGCTAAGGAGGACTGCAGGACTGTGTTGGGTCCTATATGGATCTGGTTCTCCCCCCCCCAAAAGCATGGAGGGTGTGCACATCCCTGTATTTTAAAATCCACCCACTCTGGCTACCAGGGAGCCTGACTTCACAAAGGGTCAAAGTGATCCATGGGAGGCTGGTTAGGAAGCTGTTGGACTGAAGAGATGGGCTTAAGGAGAGAGATGGAGAGAAGCCAAGGGATTTGAGAAGTATCGAGCTCATACCAAGTGATTCATACCAACATGGTAGGCATATAGGATGGTGTCGCTGCCATGGGAGAAAATATGGTGGTTCCTCGAAGTCGTATATAGCAGTCCTATATAATGCAGAATTCTACTTCTGGGTATAAATACCAAACAACTGAAAGTTGGATCTTGAAGAGATGTTGGTACACCCACCTTCACAGCAGCATTATTCACAACAGCTAAGATGTGGATGTCACCCAGATGCCCATCCATACCTGCACATCATCCAATGATATATTATTCAGCCTTAAGAAGGAGTGGAAATTTGACAGGTGCTATAACATGGGTGAGTCTTGAGAACACCATGCTCAGTGCAACTAAACAGATGCAATAAAAAGGACAGATACTGTGTGATTCCACTTCTGTGAGGTCCTAGGGTGATTAGATTCATGGAGACAGAAAGTAGAATAGTGAGTCCCAGGGGAGGGGGAAGACAAGTCAATATTTAATAGTTTAATAGGGACAGACTTTCTGTTTGCAGGGATGAGAAAGTTCTGGAGATGGATGGTGGTGATGGCTGCACAACAGTCTGAATGTGCTTTAATGTCACTGAACTGTCCTCTTAAAAATGGTTCAGATTGGAAACTTTATATTATATATGATTTACCACAAATTAAAGGGGGGAGGAAATTTACATAAAACTCCAAGATTACTTCCTCTGGCTCATCTGATGTGACTTGTCACTTTTAAAAAAATTGTTTTTAATTGTTGATGGACCTTTATTTTACGCATTTATTTATATGTGGTGATGAGAATCAAACCCAGTGCCTCATACATGCGAGGCAAACGCTCTACCACTGAGCCACAACCCCAGCCCCTGACTTGTTGACTCTTTTAATGGCAGGACCGTTTTGTGACCAGAGGCTTGTATATGCTTCCAGGCATGTCAGGGCTGACTTAATATTAAATGTGAAGAATTATGCACAGACTGACAAACTTAGATGATTCTTTGCTGAGTAGCAAGAAACTGTATGACAATAATGCCCAGAGATTGCAGCTCACTGTGACCTTGACAAGTCTAGACATCTATTTGTTTGCAATCCCTTTTTCCTTAAAAAGAAAGTCATTGGGCTGGGGATGTGGCTCAAGCGGTAGCGCGCTCACCTGGCATGCGTGCGGCCCGGGTTCGATCCTCAGCACCACATACAAACAAAGATGTTGTGTCTGCCAATAACTAAAAAAAAAAAAAATATTAAAATTCTCAAAATAAATAAATAAATCTTATTTAAAAAAAAAAAGAAAGTCATTGGTATATTGACAACTACCAAAGAGAAGGTAAGAAAGGGGCCAATAAAAAGTCATTAAACAACCAAAATATGTAAACAGAATTCTTCTTTCACTCCCTTCAGGTCTAGAGAGCATGCTAAAGCTGTCTCACAAAGATGGAGTCCCATAATAGCCAGACTCCTACTATGATAGGCTGACAACTGAAATAGAAAGAAATAATAATAATAGAAAGAAAGATATAATCCACTAAAAAATAGACAAAAGGTATGAACAGGTATTTCACGAAAGAAGGTATACAGGTGACAGACAAACCTATGAAAAGATGTTCAACATTATTCATGAATAGTGTGCAAATTAAAATCACAATGGCCTATCACTACACATCTGTTAACGTTGCTTAAAAAAACACACAGGCCTGAGACAGGAGGATCGCAGGTTCAAAGCCATCCTCAGCAACGGCGAGGCACTAAGCAACTCAGTGAGACCCTGTCTTTAAATAAAATACAAAATAGGACTGGGGATGTGGCTCAATGATTTAGTGCCCCTGAGTTCAATCCCCAGTCCCTCACTCCAAAAAAAAAAAAAAGAAAAAAAAAAAAAAAAACACCACACACACACACACACACACACACACAGAACTGACAATATCAACACCTGGAGAAAAGGTGGAGCAACCGGAACTCTCACCCATTGCTGACATGCAGAATGGTACTGACCCTTCACGAACCAGTTTGGCAGTAATATCTTGTATCTTGTATACTACTCTTACTGTAGGGCTCCTAACTGCATTCCAAGGTGTTCACCCAAGTGAAATGAAAACTCAGATTGACACAATGACCTATACATGAATATTATAGTGACTTATTCATAATCAGTCACAATGGGAAGCAACCCAACACCCCTTCTGTACCTCAGCTAGGGAGGGAACAAACTGTGTTACAACCAGGCCTTGGAGTACTCTACAACAATGAAAAAGCAAGATATCAATATACAGGGTGACATGGATGAATCTGATGAGAACCATATATGATTTTATGTGTATGACATTCTGGAAGAGACAAAACAACAGAGATAGAGAGAGATAGAGATAGAGAAGAAATTGGTCACAAAGTGACTTTGGGGGATTCTGGTGGTAGGGGGAGGTGTGGCAATTGTGATGTCAATTATATGACTACATATCTGTCAGAAGTAGCACTGCTTTGCAATAAAGAGAGAATTTTACTCTATGTCGATCATACCTGCATTTAACATTTTTCTTTAAATCTCTGGAGAGATTGTATTTATAAAAGCCAAAAACGAGGCCTAAGAGGTCTGCTGCCCAATTCAGACGCCACTAGCCACGTGTCCTACTTGAACTTACACTCTAATCAAAATGACATAACAGCATACATTCCATTCCCCAGTGGCAGGAGCCTCATCGCAGATGCTCAGTAGCCGTCGTCGATGTCTAATGGTTACTGTGTTGATCAGGACAGATAAAGAACAGCTCCAACATTGTAGAAAGTTCCACTGAACTGTGTTGCCCTGAGAGTCTGGGAGTGGCTGGCACTTCTGTCCTCTCCTCCCTTTACTCTCTGAAATCTGAGAATCACACCGTGCAACATGTGCCCCACACATGGTAACTGCGGCAGAAGACCCACAGAGAAAGCCAATGGGGTCACTTGCCACCTTAACCCAAAGGGGTCCTTGCTTTGCCTGCTACTCTGGGTGAAAAAACACAGGCAGCAGAATACAGCCCCCCAGCACAAGACAGGAGCCTAGGGAAGCCCCTCCCCCAGCAGAAGCTGAGTCTGAAGGCAGGAGACAAAGTCCAGAGGGAGAATCCTCAAAATGCAAAAGCAGCTGGCTCCCTCTAGTATCTCAGAAGACCTGGAGCTCCATAAATAGGTGGT